GAGTGCAGTGGCCGCTCCCGGCCACCACAACCTCGACCCGCTGGGCTCCAGCGATCCTTCTGCCTCAGCCTTCCAAGTAGCCAGAACTACAGGCACGCGCTACCATGCCCGGCTGATTTTTTAATTTTATTGTAGAGATGAGGTCTCAGGGCTTTTTCTTTTGATATGGCCTCACATACATGAAGGTTTTGGCTTTTTTTTTTTCATCAGAATCTCACTCTGTTACCCAGGCTGGAATGCAGTGGCATGCTCACAGTCACTGCAGCCTCTACCTGCTGGGCTAGGCGATCCTTCTGCCTCAGCCCTCCAAGTAGCTGGAACTACAGGTATGGCCACCACACCTGGCTAATTCTTAAAATTTATTCTAGAGATAAGGTCTTGCCATATTACCCAGACTGGTCTCGAACCCCTGAGCTCAGGCAATCCTCTCGCCTCGGCCTCCCAAAGTGCTGGGATTACAGGCATGAGCCAGTGTGCTCGGCTAGGTTTTGGCTTTTATGCTGCAGTGGCTGTAGGATTTCTGCCAATAGGAGTGCATTGGGCTCCTGGATGGTTTAATCGTTCTAGCCTTGGTAACGTGGCTATCTCTCCCCTCCTCCCCACAGGAACATCATTCATGGCAGCGACTCCATGGGGAGTGCGGAGAAGGAGATCGGCTTGTGGTTTCAGCCTGAGGAACTGGTGGATTATAAGAGCTGTGCTCAGAACTGGATCTACGAATGACGGGAGGGAGACCACAGTTCTTTTCCACCCACTTCCCTTCCTTTCCGTGGGCAAAGGACCAGGCTGCAGCAAACGTAGTTATTTACAGGGACTTCCTTATCATTTGGAGGGACATTCTTGGAGCTGTGAGTGCTCCCTATAGTGTTATATGCTACCATCCGATTAAAATGTCTCATCCCAATGTCGGATTTCTTGTGGTTTACTTTGTATTGTTGTATTACTTTTTTTCTTTTCATTTCATATATGTTGAATAATGTGAGTTAATAGAATGTAAGAACTATATAGAATATTTATTAGGAATACAGCTTTCTTTTTTATTTCATTTAAAAAATTAAAACTTTGAGACAGGGTCTTGCTGTGTCACTCAGGCTGGAAAGTATTGGTGCAGTTATAGCTCACTGTAACCTTGAACTCTTGGACTCAAGTGATAATCCCACCTCAGCCTCCCAAGCAGCTGGGACTACCGGTGTGTGCTACCACACCTGACTAATTAAAACTTTTTTATGGTAGAGATAGGGTCTTGCTATGTTGCCTGTGTTGGTCTCGAATTCATGGGCTTTAAGTAATCCTTCCAGCATGGCTTCCCAAAGTGCTGGCATTACAGGCATGAGCCACCATGCCTGGCCCTATGTGTTATTGAGATTGGCTTCAGAGATCTCACACATGTATCTTTTGCCCTTCTCCCTGCCTCCTGCAGCCTATCCACTCTTGACACTGAGCTAGTCGATGCATCTGTAGAAGGTCTGCTGGGTGACCAAGACTACTGAGTGAAGATGATTCACCAGAAATAAGACGGTAGCTGGGCACAGTGGCTCATGCCTACTTGGGAAGCCAAGGCAGGAGAATCACTTAAACCAAGGCAACACAGTGAGACTAATTAAAAAAAGGCTGGGTACAGTGGCTTATACCTGTAATCCTAGGACTTTGGGAGGCTGCGGTAAGATCACTTGAGGCCATAAATTTGAGACCAGCCTGGACAACATAGCCAGACCTTGTTTCTAATATAGATATATATGGTATATATACTGTGTATATGTGTGTGTGAAATGTCCTTGAAACTCTCACTTTCCCATGGTTGACATTTGGAACCTCGGAAAAGGAAACCCAATTAAGAATGTGTTTCAGGCCGGGTGGGGTGGCTCAAGCCTGTATTCCAGCACTTTGGGAGGCTGAGGCAAGAGGATTATCTGAATCCAGGGGTTCAAGACCAGCCTGGGCTACTTGGTGAGACCTCATCTCTACAATAAATCAAAAAATTAACTGGGTGTGGTCTCGTGTGCCTGTATTTCCAGCTACTTGGAAGGCTGAGGTGGAAGGATTGCCTGATCCCAGCAGGTCGAGGCTGCGGTGACCAAGAACATGCCACTGCAACTCCAGCCTGGGTGACAGAGTGAGACTCCAACTCAAAAAAAAAAAAAAAGTTTCAGATTGAGGCCAAAGGAAGTATTGCTCCAGCATGTGACAGTCCTTGACAACCTATTGTAGGTTAGTGCTCTGTACTAGAAGTTTGGAAAGCAGAGAAGGCGCAATAAAGGCCTGAATTGTCAGTCTGCCCAGTCGCTGGTGATCTATGCTGCTAGGACCAACTGGGTGACAGCGTGATTGCTCTGGTCAGCTCAGTCCTGATCTCAGGTGGGTATAAGTGCTGGGCAGGTGAGGGGAGGGGCCTGCTGGCTCAGGGAAGCTGGGCACCACCGAGGGGGGCTGGTTTGCCAGGCACATAGGACCGAGGAATTATCTACAAGTCCATGACGGGATTGATCATTATGGGAGAATCTAAAACGTTAGCGGTGTCTCAGCTTGACCTGGATCACCTGGCCACACAGTAGTGCTGGGTGGGCGGGAATCCCATTCCCGGGGGGAAGAGCAGGTGGGGAGACAGGCAGCCTGGCGGCAGGGCTTACCGTGAAAAGGGGTTTTGCTAAGGCGTGTGCACGCCATTCTGCCTGCAAGGGCGTCGACAAAACAAACGGCCGTTTGCTGAGCGAGGCCTCCGAGTGCGCCGGGAGGTGAGGTCGAGGCCCCTTTGGGAGGCTGAGGACTTAACCAGGGTTCGAGCCGAGAGGCGAGGACAGCAAGGCGGGATTTCAGGGATAGGAAGGATCAGGACTGGGTGCACGACGGGGAGGAAGAGTCAAGGTTAGGCGCGGGCGCTCGGGCTGATGGTGACAGCGGATGGCATTGACTGGGGTAAAAAGAACTCAAGGCCAGGAGGGGTGTGTGTGTGGGGGCGCGCGCGCGCAAGACCAGGGGGGGTGTGCGTGTGTGTGCAAGAGGGGGTGCGGTGCCAGGAGCAGGTGGGGGTCACGGAAGGCAGAGGCGAGGAACTGGAGTTGGGACGGACGGGGCTTCACCGGTGGGGCGTGCAGGCGGAGGACGAA